TAACAGTTGGAACGCGTGTGGGGGTTGGAGGTAGCCATGTACTGGACAAGCCAACGAGAGAGATCCATCTACCGACGAGCATGGACTTCGTGTGATCCAGCGAGGGAAGCCAATCAACGGCGAGAGTTTGAGATTGCACCGAAGGGCCACGATCCTCGTGTGCTGAGGGCAGTCAGAGCTATGAGAGGAAGGGGAATCCGCCCGCCAGCTGCGGGCAAGGGATTGGATCTACGCGCGAGCTAATCAGCTAACCTAACAGATCAATTTGGGAGTTCAACGAGTTCAAGCGGGCAGGTGTGCACGGGTCACGAGCGGATTTCGATTTCAGTCGTTTACGAAATGAGATCTCCACCTAATTGAGAAGAACGAGGGAATCTTCACCAACCACGGTTCGACCCAGAGAGACATCTACCCCTACTAGTTGAGGTGGGCACTATGACCTTCAGTAGCGAGCTCATCAACGGTAGACGGGAGAGTGTACGGGAGTAGCGTACTAAGGAACAAGGGTACTACTGAACACGTGGAGGTCGCGCGCTGAAGTGAGTGAAGCAGCACGGCTCATAAGCTTCGGCAGGTCATCCTACATCCCATCAAATCTTCGACGCTTCATTGGTAGGCTGATCGACGTGAGCCTATGCGCCCTTCCGCCCGCTCGTTCGCTACGTGGTTGATCCTGCTGGCAGCCATACGCTGGTCTTAGAAACTAAGCCATGCCGCCTCAGTGTGAACACATGCTGCCTGCGGCCACCTCCACGCTGGGGCGAACGGAGACAGTGGGTGCGGGGGAAATAGTGTGCCCTCATATGGGTGTGCTGCATAGAGGGCGCGCGGATAGAAGTGTTGTGCAGTGGTCGAAGAACTACGAGAAGTAAGGGAAGCGTCACGAGGTAGGGCATGCGCGCGGAGCAAGGGAAGCTCACGCGGATGAGCTGTTAGACGGGCTAGATGGGGAGGTCGCACGCAAGTGGGGAACGAAGCCGCGCGAGGTAAGGTAAGTCGCACAAGGTAAGGTAAGCCGCGCGGGAAGGAAAGAGCTTCTGTGCGGGAAAGGAGCTGCCACGCAGGGAGAGCAGTTGCGCGAAGCTGTGCAAGCGAGAGTAGAAGTTGCGCGCAAGCCTAAACAGAAGTGCGCAAATACCTGATCTGAGTGTGTGTGAACCCGCGCGTGCGAGGTTGACACACACACACACAAAGAGAGAGAGAGAGAGAGAGAGAGAGAGAGAGAGAGAGAGAGAGAGAGAGAGAGGGAATGAGAGGGGCATACTGGGCGAGCGAAGAGAGTGCGTGGGCAAGTGAGAGTAAAGTATTTCCTTATTATGTCAGAATTTCTTCCATCTGTCCGTTGAGCATGTCCAGGTGCATCGAATCTGAGCCATCTTCGGAATGCGCAAGAAGTTAAAGGGGCATCGTGAGACTGGGTGGGCGCTAGCCCCAGAGAGAGACAGGGGGCAATGTGATTTTTGCCCAGTGTTCTGAATGTCAGAGTGAAGAGATTCGAACATGACGCGAGTAAACGGCGGGAGTATGTATGACTCTCTTAAGGTAACCAAATGCCTCGTCATCTAATTGGTGACGCGCATGAATGGATTAGCGAGATCACACTGTCCCTATCTACCATTGTGCGAAGCCACAACCGAGGGAACGGGCTCGGAAGAATCGGCAGGTCATCAAATTAGTGGTGCGCATGAATCAATTAACGAGATTCCCCTCTGTCCCTATCTACCATCCCGCGAAATCACAGCCATGGGAACGGGCTTGGGGGAAAATGGCAAGGCCAATGCCTCGTCATGTAATTAGTGACGCGCATGAATGGATTGACGAGCTTCCCACTGTCCCTATCTACCACTGTGCGAAGCCACAACCGAGTGATCGAGCTTGGGAGAATCGGTGGGGCAACTCCTCGTCATCTAATCAGTGGCGCGCTTGGATGGATTAACGAGATTCCCACTGCATCCATTGGAAGTCCGCGAACGTCAACGGGTCGAGTTTCTCAAGTCCTGACCATGACGTCGAATCCCCGACGAAAGTTGGAGGCGAAGTTGCCGAATCTGTTGCCGATGGTGGTGAAATCGTGCATGCGGTGGATTGTTGCACATGGAGTGGCTGGTCCAATGGTGGGACCAAGTGGACAGCGTAATCGTCGTAAGTGAACCGAGGACTCGCGACATCCGTATTCTCCCCAGATATGTAGGAGGCCGCTAGCAAGGCAGCCGAATCTGGCGGAGTGAGAGGTGGAGTCGCCTCACCTCCCGTGCAGCTCAGTTTCCCGAGCTGATTCGAGGCCGAACATCCTCCTTGCCTTGATCTTGGCATTGGGAGGTCTTGTGCTTGGTGCTGTTGCACCAACAGCAGCAGCCGTATCGGTTGTTGTACTTGTATTCAGCCTCGGTCAAGTTGAACTTGACCCATGGCACTGGCTTCCGACCGGCGATGCGGTTTTCGCCTTCCCTTTTCCATGAGAGTTGTTGCTTCGCGGCTGGACAGCGGCCACCTGATCTCCCTCACATGATGCTGGGGTGGCTGCCGTGTCTTCCACAATGTTGTCCGGTTGGACTGCAGCGACTTGCTGCGGACGAGGACCAAATTTTCCTTTCTCCACATGGGCTGGCTGCCACGCTGACTTCTCGTGCAGCAGCCCGGGTTGGTGTTGATGATCTCACGCGCCTTGTCGATGATTTCGGCGAAGGTCGTGTACTGTTCTCGATCACCGAGTGCGAGGCTCAAGGCGGCACACGACCGGTTGTAGAACTCTTGACACAGATGCGAAAATGGCAACTCGAGATCGTGTGTTGCCACAATCTTTTGCCATTCAGTGAGTCAATCACGTGTTGGTGTGTTGCCTTGAGTCATGGCGAAGAGGCGGTTGATGGCAAGCGTTGGGGTGTCGTCCACAATGAACCGCTTTTTCCATTCTTTCGTCATCTCGTCCCAGTAGATCTTCTTGTGCAGATCGGAAACCTGGACGTCGTGGATGGTTGCCATGGGGCTGAGCCAGATCTGGCATCCACCCTTGGCGTTGAGGAACAACGCCGAGATGTACAAGTGATTAGGGACCTCATGATTCCCAATCTTCGTTGTAAAGCCTTGCCACCAGACGACTGGTTCTGATGCGTGTCGTCGTCAAACTTCTCAATTCGGAACGTCGGCATCTTGTACGGCCGCGATGCACTGGTGCTGCCATCGTTGTCAGACGGCTGGTGTAGTTGCTGGACCTCGGTCTTCAAGGTGTCGAGCTGCTCGCTGATGGTGGCTGTTGCGGCGAAGGTACTGATGTCGCCGAGCATTGCAACTGCATGATCAACTCGTTACTCCAACTGGCGGGTTGAGGCTGCACTGCTGGGTTCGCCAACATCTGGTCTTGGTGCTGCTTGCTCCAAGTCCTGTACACGGGAATGGAGTGGCCGTGTAGCATCCTCGTGCAGATCATTTTGGTTCCGCACTACCCGTCGGAGATTCAGCAGCTCGGACTGCAGGTGGTTACAAGTGTAAACCAACCGGCTCACGAGTTTGGAGAGAAACTCCTTGTGCTGCTCTCCCGGTGTCGCGTCGTCATGGTCCTCGGATGGTTCAAAATGCCAGAACTTGAGCCTGTCAACGCTGGCGGCTTCGTGCCGCTGCAGCAGATCCCGGGCCTCCTTGTGGCGGACCTGGGCATCTGCGTCAGCTGCGGCCTGAAGCCACCGCTTTTCAGCTGCTGCCTCCACTTGAGCCTGTAGGCGGGCGGCCTCGGCTGCTGAGTGGCACTGTTCCTCAGCCTTGATCAGTGCGAGCTGGGCTTGGAACCGCTGTCGGTACTCGGCAATGGACTCGTTGGCCAGTTGGCCTGGTATGCCCAAAACTGAAACCGTCTTGGTGTCGGGCACTGCTGACGTGGCACTGCTGGCGTGGCACTGCTGACGTGGCACTGCTGACGTGGCACTTACCAAACCGGGAATGCAGAGAAGGGGCTGGGTGGGAGGGAAACGCAGGAAGGTAACAAAACTGCACTTTCCATTCCCGGTCCTAATCAACAGAAAAAATAAAAGAGAGAAATAAAGAAGAGGATCACCCCCCCCCCCCTTTTTTTTTTTTTTTTTTTTAATATCTGCCGATCTGCTATCAGTGAGGCATTACGGAGGAGTGCAATGAACGAGATCTAGGCAAGGTTTCGCAAGGTTTCGGCTTTAAAAAAAAATGCGATCTTGAAAAAAAAAATTGCAAGAAATAGAACGGAGGTTCCACTTTTCGAGAAGAATAGATCCAGTCCGAGAATATGACAACCTCCCTAGTTCACCTAATATGCCCAGAGTGAGGGAAAAAAAAACTAAATGCTAGTATCCGAAGTTGCGAAAAGAAAAAGAAAATCAGAGATTTGACGGAGCCCTACTTGATTCGCTAATAGACAATCAATTACTCAATCAATCAATCAGTCAATCAATCAATCAATCAATCATTCAACAATCAGTCGATCAAGCAAGCTGGCTCCTTGATTGGGCGGATCCTCTGATTGAGAGGTCCGCTCCGATACCAAACTGTCGCATACCGTAATGGTACAGACCAAACAAGAACCGGCCTCTCTCACATAGTACAGGATAGCGCAGCGGAAGGCTAAAATACCAATGATCAGACCAATCAATGTCGCAATGCACATACATCATCATCATCACATGGTGTGAAGGGGCCTGACGCTCACACAGGGAGAATGCGGCAGTCCCCAAATCATACACAGACAACGAAGAGGGGGATCAGACGAAGAAGAGGGGAAAGATGGGAATGTCGTCAACACCAAGTCTTCGATACAGGCCCCAAATAATCCCTCATCCAATGTCTTGATCCCAATGTTGAGTCTGAATCCAAATGCCGTCAAATCTCTCTCTCTCTCTCTCGTAGTCTGTAGGTGCTGAGAAGACAGGTAGCGAGAGGGTGAGGGAGCGATGGTGGACTTAGAGGAGGAAGAAGAAGAACTCTCTCTCTCTCTCTGGTGCCAAGTACTGACCTGTGAAGGTGGCGCCTTGTTGCAGGTACATTGAAGACGAAGCTGGAGCTATGGCGCCACATGTAAGTCTCCCTGGCCTCCGCCAACTCTCTCTCTCTCCAACTCTACTCTAGGCTCCTAACAGCGCCCAGCGCTGAAGACTACTCCTAGTGCTAGCTGCTACTACTGCAGCACTCCTGGAGACTGATGCGGCCGCATCCTGAAGACTGCCTCCTGCACTGCCAGTGAAGTGCCCGTGAACTGCCTGCAGCCTGCAGGGCGGACCAGTACTATATAGTGCTGGTCCGGCGCGGGAGGCTGCTCTTGCCCATGCCGAATCGTGCCAGACCCTGGAGTTGAAGTTCAAACAAAGGTTGGCGCCTAAGTTTCAGGGCAGGTCGACTTTGTGAGGGCCTGAAAATGGCCCTCCTTTTCAGGCTTTTAGGCTGAAACGACGCAGGGCCTGGAGGGCCCTTATTTTCTGTCTGGTCGGGCCCTGCAGGCCCGTGTGGATGCGCAGTATGCCACGCCCCCCCCTCCTTGAAAGACCAAGCTTACCTTCGAGGGCGAAGCTGCCTGTCGGAGGGAGGGACCAAAGTCCGGGTGGGAGGGGCAGATCATGAAGCTGCCTTAGCTAGTCTTTGTCGTTCGTAGTGAGCGTAGATCAGCGGTGCGGATGCTTGCAAATCTGCTAGTGAAATCCATCGAGTGTCGTCGGGATCGCATGCTTTGAAGGTAACTTTGTACTGTCGAGGCTTGTTGTAGTCTGCCACAGAGACACTCCAACGAGCATCCGTCATCACCCATAGGCAACACAGATATCCCGAACCGAGCGCCCCCCTAAGAGTGCAGTTGGCACTCCAAACAAGGAACCACCGACTATTTGGCACTACTTAAGGGTGCTCGGTTGGGCACACAAAGAAAATACTTAGAAAAAATCAGAGGGAGGACGGACAACAGTAAAAAGACTGACAGACATAAAACTGATTGTGTGTGTGTGTGTGTGTGTGTGTGTGTG